GTATTCCACTGAAAATTGCAACGAATATTTCATTGGTGTAGTGTTCATTGAAAAAATTCATTGTCTATTAGAGATCAAATTAAATTACATTGAAATTTTTGTTGATTTAATGATTACAACTACCATTATTTATTATTGTATGAATTTCAATTAGAATTTGTTTTCAGACCATATTTTAACTGTTGAAAAAACTGTCAATGGAATTTTAAAAAATTCAATATAAGTTTATGAAAGCTAATTGCAGTGGTGGATACAAAATAATTTCTTATTGGGGGCACTATTTAGTTAATAGAAAAAGTATACCATCAAAATAACATATGCACTATAATTTTTATAAATTATACTTTTCATAGTTTGTCATCTTTCGCATTTGTAATACATTTTTAACACATATGAGTTAGAAAATATTAAAAAAAAAATATGATTTTTCTTAATTCAATATAAGAAAATCATTGAGAACAATATACTTTTTAGAATTTTTTATGAACAAAACTTGAAATCGTCATTGTTTGTTCTCATAACGGCCATGAAGTATAGAAATATCATTTTTTAAATTAATCTTTAAAAATATTAATCTTTACCAAAAAATTATATGGATATATTACCAGTATCCATCTATCCAATCTGTATTATTATAATAAAGCATTATTTTTCATTACAAAAATGTACGAAATTAATATATAATAAGACATATATAAAATTTCATAAATAATATTAAAAGTGTTATAATTGATTAAAATAAATATAAAACTTTTAAAACTTGTATTTATCAATATAAGTGAGTTGAGTTGTAAACATTTGTTAATTTTTTGTGATTATTAATTCTATGTGTAAGGTTTAGGTGACAGATAATAGTTATTTGTACTTTCATCCACTTAGGTTAGAACTTCTAATTTTTTTTTTAAAAAAAATTTGATTGTTCTAATTTTAAATAACTTTTTTATTTGTTATTATTTTTTTAAACATAATATACAAATATCATATTACAATTATACAATACTAAATATTTTTATTATTTAATATTTAATGTGTAAGAAATATAACTTGATTAAGAAATTAATAGGTAATCTTGAGATAAAATAATGAGTGGTTTCTAAAACAATTACATGACTAAAAAGCCATGTGTTTAATGTATTTTTAAAAGGAAAATAGTAAAGATAATTAAGTAATAACAAAAGATATCACATAAAAATTTAATGTTTAAGAATGAATAAATTAAAAAAAAAAAACAACCGTAAGGTATTTCACTGAAAATTCCAACGGATATTTCATTGGTATGACTTTCATTGAAAACTTCATTGGTTGTTCCAACAGAGATAAAGTTAAATTACATTAGAATTTAACTGATTAATTATTCTCATTTCTATTATTTATTATTGTGTGATTTTTCATTGGAATTTTTCTCAGACAATATTTCAACTGTTGGAAAAACAACCATTGGAATTGTAAACAATTCAATGGAAGTTTCATTGAAAAACTAAATGCAGTGGCAGATCCAAAATAATTTCTTACAGGGGGCACTATACCATCAAAATAACATAATGCTTTTACAATTTATAATTTGTCATATTTCTCACCTGTGATACATTTTTAATACATCAATACAGTCACGACAAGTTAAAATAAATAAACAAAAAAATATAATTTTTCTTCAACATAATAAAATCATTGAAAATAATATATTTTTTTTTAAAAATTTTATGAACAAAAAATTTAGGTTATGGTATAGTTGACTCGACAATATAATTGATGAATTTGTAAATTATTAATATATAACTATAATAACACATACATTAGTTAAAGAAGTCATGAAAAAAGTTGGAGAAAAAATATGTTGCAAAAGAGAGAATAGAAGCTATCATCGAGATTAAAATAAATAAAATTAAATTAAAAGGGTGAAATTGTAATTTCTAGATTTATCATATTTTCTTTAGTAATTTGTCATATTTCTCACCTGTAATACATTTTTAATACATCAATACAGTCACGACAAGTTAAAATAAATTAACAAAAAAACATAATTTTTCTTCAACATAATAAAATCATTGAAAATAATATATTTTTTAAAATTTTTATGAAGAAAAAATTTATGTTATGGTATAGTTGACTCGGCAATATAATTATGAATTTGTCAATTATTAATATATAACTATAATTCTATATACATTAGTTAAAAGAGACATGAAAAATGTTAGAGAAAAAATATGTTATAAAAGAGAGAATAGAAGCTATCATCAAGATTAAAAAAAAAAATTAAAAGGGTGAAATTATAATTTCTAAATTTATCATATTTTCTTTAGTTGTGATACTGTGTTTATGGTATAACTTTAATAAAGTTATGAGTTGAATTAAATTATAATTGGTTGAGTCACAAATTAAATCATTATTTATCTTTCTTTCTTTTAATTTTACTTTCTGAATATGGAGAATGATAAAATTATGAAAAATGTTCTCATAATTTTTGTTAGATACATTATGCTATATGTTTTGGGAAGCAGCCATATGTCAACCGTATTAAAAAAATGGATCTGCCCATGATTCTAACGAAATATTTTTGTTATATTTTTTATTGAAATAATTCAAATAAGAGGAATAACATTTAAATATTCGTTAGAATTGGTATTAATTTTTTAGTTAAATATTTCATTACTTTCTAACATTAAATTTTTTTGACTTTCGAAATACTTAATATTTTTTTATTTGTTATCCTTTTATATGTAATACATCACATCATTTCTTTCCAATGATGTTTGATTTGACAATTTATTGTAAATAAAATAAAAATATTATAATTATTTATGACGATATAATATATATATATATATATATATTATCAATACCAATTAAAAATAATAAATGGACCTAAAAGTATCTCATAAAATAGATTATAAATCTATGTTAAATAAATTTAATTAAGTATAAATTAACATAAGATAAACATGTGGATATTTTTCTTACATAGATTTAAAATATTAATACTACGAAAAAGTAAAAACTAGATGTAAACTTACAACTATTGTCAATTTTAATTATGTGAATTAAAAAGAGAAATAAATGAGTAGTATGCTAAACTATTTTCAATACTTCTTGAAAGGGAACACCATAATCGTTGTAACGTATACTTTCAATGAATAGGAAAATGAGTTAGTTACAATATGTTTTATCAAAAAATGAAAAAAAATGTGAACTTTTTAATCTTATAAACAATATAAAAGTACAATTTTATCAAATATATATTATTATAAATAAATAAATAAATAATATTTTATCTTATGTGATTATAATTGTAGCCAAATAAATAATATACTTTGATAACAACATAATTATATAAGATGTGCAAACAAATTAGACAATACATATAAACATGCCGTAATTCTTTTAACAAATAAAATATTATCTGTGAATATAATAAGAAACAAATAAAACAATATTAAGGCAATGAGGAAAAAGAAGTTTGATTTTTTTATTTTAGAGAAATATGAATATCAACATCTGGAAACAAAAGTCTTTTATAATTACTACATTTTTTATTACTGGCATTTAAATTCTCATAAATATTGACCCTATATTATCAATTTTTATTTTTAAAATAATTAAAAAAATAAAAAACTTTGTCATACATAATATATATTTTAATAATGATTTCGTAATAAATTTCACAGATGGCGAAGAGTATTATAATATAATAGAATTTTGATTTTTCTCCTCTCTAATATTTTAACAAATGATATGTTTCTCAATATTATCTCATTGCTTTTTTTTTTCATTGTTAAAGAATCAAGAAAAGATATTTATCATAAATTTTTGAAACTTTATGATTGATGCAAAAATTTGGACAATAAAAGCGTTTGAAATCATTGGATCAATCAAGCTGCTCAATAATTTGCAAACAACATATTATATAGTTTGTCTATCTTCAAAATAAATGTCGAAGCATGATAAAAATATTTTTCAATTTTTGAATGAAGTTATCATATTTTGATAGAAATATCTACAATTTTATTGGGGTATTGTGCTCGAACATATGTGCAAGTACTCTAGAGTATATACTTTCATGTAATGTATGATGATTTCAAAAAATAATTTAGTCTTCATGTAATGTGTGAGGATTTAAAAAAATAATTTAGCGTCTCGGGAGAAGTATATGTAACCAATATTTTGAAAGGTCAACTTTTATTTGGAAATAAAACTCATTCTCACCCCGTGGGCGATGCCTCCATGGGAGAGGTGTCAATTTGTCTATATGGAGACAGAATAATGTGGTAGTTTAAAAAAAAAAAAAGATAATATCAGCAATTTTAGTGACATGATTGATTATTTCACAAAGATATTCATTAATTGTTATTAGCAATACTTTATAAAGATCATAATCATAGAGTTTGACTATATGTTTGGACAAAATATTTGCATTGTTTGAATAAAATAGACTTTTTGCCTAATGACTTAAGAAGAAATTGCCTATTGATGTATAGAACTCGAATGAGTATGAATGTTTTTATTATGAGAACGTCAAAACTAAAATGAAAGAAAATCACTCTTGAATCATCAAACATAAATAAAAAAAAAAGAACTAATGCATTTATAATATACATTGTCTTTATTTAGTTATTTAGTGTCTTTTAAAAAAAATTATGGAGTCATTTTTCATGTATTTTTGTCGGGGTTGTAATATGTTATTTTATTTTTTTATATTAGTACATCGTTATGTTAATTTTATTTGGTTCATGCAATAATGTGTTAATATATTAACTAATTTATTTTACTAAATTTAATCGGCAAAAATAATTTACCACCACGTGAATCGCACGTGCACCTTACTAGTAGTATATAAAAGCTACACATTTTTTGTGCCGATGAAGCTGAAAAACATCATATAAAAATAATATATTACTCTCAAAAATTTAAAATTCATACATCTGGTGATCATGAAACTTTATGAAAAGCTCTCACATACATATCATGAGCTATGATATATCATAATCATCTTGCTAACTAACAAGTCATCGTCATCGGTCAAAAAACGACATCGACAGCCTCTCTATACACGAGACGTCTTTCCTCTCAATCTCACCAACATCCTCTCGGGAAGACGGATCCCCTGCTCGAAGCCCGAGCATTCTCACAATAGGCAACGGTCGGCCTACGTAGTGTGTCGACATAAGTCAGCCTAACGTCTTGCAGTCTTATTCCGTAGCAAGGGTTAGACGGGTTGCACCTGAAGGTCATGGCTGCCTGCGTGGACGATGTCCCCTTTATGTCTCTGTACAACACTTGGCTCACTCTCACTCCAGAACTCTGCCAATTAATTTGGATCAAAACAAATTTCAAAATTACTTGTTCAATTTATTTATTTATTTTTGAACTTAGGTTATTAATACAAGTAGTTTTATAAACAAAGTTATATGATTGAGGCTAAAATATGTTAGTTTACCTGATGAGGGCAGGCGCCTGTAGGGCAGTACATTTGATCAATGATGATGGGATTGGCAACATTTCTCATGACAAGGTTACTAAACACCAGATTCCGAGCATACCCGACGCTCCGCCGGGCCCACGACTTCACGCGGACCCCATTTTGTGTCTTTGTGAATACGGAGTTCGTCACCGTCACATTCTGCACTCCATCCTCGTTGTAACTGTCCCCTAAACTTCCAACGCTACCCGCACACGAAAAAAAAAAGAAAGAAAAATTAAAAAATTCGTAAAACAATTAAAATCGATTTTGGTATAGATACTTATTAGCAAGCAAAGAAGGTAAGTAAGAACCTGATTCCGTGCCCGGGCCCGCAACCTATCCGCTCCAACCAAACGTTCATAGAGCCGGGGCCTATGGACACGCAGTCGTCCCCTGTCTTAATTATGGTGTCCGTGACCGTGACGCCTCTAGACGAGGCAATGTGGATCCCGTCAGTGTTGGGGCTCCCGCTTGGGGCCGTGACTCTCACGTTCCGAAGCCTTATGTTGCTGCTGTGGCCGATGGTGACGTGCATCGTCTGGCTGTTGAACGATCTCAAGCCTCTCACATCCACATTATTGCACCACTCGAACGACAACGACTGCAAATTATGTTATTGGTTGATATATATTCACAAATGTGCATACTTTCATTCAAAAATGTCATAATCTAGAAAACAATATAAATAGAATTATGATACTTTATTGCAAAATTTTATTTTTGAGCTAATATATATACTGGCCTCTTTTGGAGTTGTAAACGAGCCGAACTTGAGGTTGAACCCTTAACGAGTCGAGCTGAGCTGAGCTCCACTCGTTAACAAAACTAGCCAAAGAACTCAAGCTTGACTCGTTTATTTGTATTAACGAGTTGAATTATAAACAAAATATATAAAAAAACCTTATTTTCGGGTCTTAACAAGTCAAGCCGAGCCCGACTTATTAACTAAACGAGCTTTCGATGAGCTCGAGTCAAACTCGAACCTTAACAAGTCGAGCCGAGAACACGAGCGTCTCATTTTGTGTAACAGAGCTCTAGGGCTCTTTCAAAAAATATATGTGCTACTTTGGTGTTATCAATCTTAGTACAATAATTTGTAAGAAAACAAAAATATATATAAAAAAAATGTACACTTTTTGAAGCAAAATGACGATCTTACCCTTGCTCCGCCAGGACACCGATTGTACCGGCCCCGCCTGCACGACCAGAACTCGGACCCTCTGGCGTCGATTGTTCCCCCGACCAGCGTCAACCCACTAACTCTGTAGAACAAAATCCAATATGGTGAGTTGCCGATCGCATAATAGTTATCGGGAGCCACAATAGTTCCTGCCATCTCGAACAAGATCCGGTTTCTGCACGGGCCCGTGAAGCTGAGCGGCCCGACCACAAACGTGCCCCTCGGGACCGAAACTGAAGCGGGCCGGGCCGAGCTGCAGGCGGCCGACCAGGCCCGTTGGAAGGCCGCGGTCGAGTCCGTTCGGCCGTCCCCTCTCGCACCATAACGAGCCACGTTGTAAGCCGAGTTAGGGGCTAACTGAAAGGAAATCAAGGCTAGCAAGAGTTTCCATGAAAATAATGTGGGAGATATATTTGATTTAGGCATGTTAGTTATTTAGTTTTGTAGTGTCACACTTTTGAGATTGTTACAAGGGTGTTGTGTATATATATGAGGTCTAACGGGGACAATTACTGCAATTGGTTACGCGATTAACGTGGAGAATTCAAGTGACGTTAGATCTCGATATCACGTGGAGTACTGAGAATGTACGGGGACGACATATTAGTTGTCTTAATTTGCGTGACTGTCATATTTTAATTTTAATACATCGAAAATGCATACTCATGTGATGTAGTATCATGAAGTAGCTGGATAAAATGATGTAGTCTAATGATTAGCGGCTTGAATCACGAGAAGCGAGCTTGTAGTTTAGAAAGGGGGAGCGGGAATGTGGACAAAATAAGATATCTCAAAATGGGAAAAGTTTGCTTTTTCCTTCAAATCATGTTTAGGAGAATAGTTAATCTGATATAATACAAGGCCTACGGAAAAGGTTTGAGAGAAATTTCTTAAGCGTGAGAGTTTTATTCGATGGGAACAATCCCAACGAATTATCTTGCAGGGCAATAAAGATCGAGTTTTTTAGTGGTGATCAAGAAGTAGCCGATTTATTTCGGTCCAATGGGAAGGAACAAAATATTATGGACTTTGTTTTTAAAATTAGCACATTTTTTTTTTTAAAAAACGACAGGAGAAATTAGCACATTTCACTAGTTTTAAATTATGCATATTTACTGAAAAAAGAAATTATTGTTTGACAAACGTCTTAGTAAAATGTTAAATATAGTGATGAAACTCTTGGGATTTTAAAATGGAAATTATATGTTTGACAAACTTCTAGTAAAATGTTAAATATAGTTATGAAATTCTTGTGATTTTAAATTGGAATCGTACATTTTATTTTTTAAATTAATCAGAATGTTATCAATATTAGTGAGATCCAATTTATATTGACTATGAAGAGATCGCGGGATGTAGGAATTAAATGCTGTGATCTAAACGCCATGTGACTTTTTATTTAATTCCTAACAAGAATCTTGATAAGTCAAGTTTCATAGTTGGTTGATTTCTAGACTTCAGATAAGATGCCATTGTTGGAAAAAAGTAGTGGGGTTTCTTGCAAGAATATCTCGAGTTCTTATACTAGTTTCTAAAGTGGTGAAGACAAATGTTGAAGTACTTTATTTGTTTATATTGTCTAAACTTTTTAATTTTTCATTTTCTGTCCACTAAAAATTGTTTTTCTAGGAAAGAAAATTGTTTGGGATGTCATCAAAATCGGTAATGATTCATTTGACAAGTTAGTCCACGATTTTGATGACACACAATATTATTTATTTTTTAATACAAACCAAAAATCTATATATATATAATTACTAGCTCAAAACATTTAATAAAACTTATTTAATTTTACCTATGTGGCAATTTAATAATTTTCCCTCCAAAAACCGTTACATTTTGATATATTTAATCTTTCATTTAATCATTAAATAATTAATACTCATCACTTCAAAATTACAAAAATCATTTTAAATTTTTTATTAATGACAGTTGACCATATAATGTGTTGACCGTATAATGTGATTAGATGTTATTATTGTTGTTACATTTTATTCTTTTTTTTAAATAAAAAATATATTAAAATTCCTGAATAAATAATAAATAATTCACAAATAAAAGACGTACCAAAATATACATTACATCCAATCAGATAAATGCAATTTTAAAAAAAATATTTCAACTCTTTTAATTATAAATTTGATCTGCAAAAAAGTGAAAGAAAAATAATTAATTATTATATACATATAACCTCACAATAATTTATTTATATTTGTGCAAATGCACAGGTCGAATACTAGTAAAATTAAACTCTAAATTCATGAGTCCCCAAAACCAAAAATATCCAACTCGTGGCACAAAGTGGCAAAAATTGAAGGTATACAAACTTAGAACTAGATTAATTTTAGTTGTACTAAGGGTGTATTCGTTTATGATTCTAAAAGACTTTTTAGGATTTTGTTTAGTATAGGATTTCATGTCATTTTATCAATTCTTGTGGATTTTGTAGAATTTATTAGAAATCCCTAAAAGTTACATGTCGTATTGTCCAGGATTTCTATAGATTTCTTAAGATTTTTAAAGAATTTTGTAGACTTTTTTTTTTTCGTGGAATAAACATCAATGAACATTAATATGTGAATATACAAGAGCTTATGAAAAATTTTATACATGGGAGAAAAAAGAAATCAATTTGAATATAGAGCAACNAAAAAAAAACATTTATAGAATTATTAATGAATGTAATAAAAAAATAGAATTAAAAAAATAACAATTATTTATTATTATGACCTAAGAAACTTACATCAGTCTCTCTCAGGCCACTCAGCTGATCTCGGATGGTAGCCGTGCCCGTCCCCAGGTGCCTCATGTCCCTCGATCCCACCCACCTTAAAAATCACAGAAAAAAATTATTTGTAAATAAAAAAATTGATAATTGAAATAACTTATGAGTTGAATATAAATAAATGGGGTATTATTACCTTGCACCCAAAGGACAACAAGGCTGAGAGCCGAAATGCGTCTTTTTCATGATTGGGCGAACACGAGGGATGCGTTCCCATGCCCAAACCTGCGCATATGGACATATACATTTTTTAGCACATATTATTGTAATTTATAATAAATAAAATTAATATACAAACCACAAGTAAATAAATTTACATGAATCAACTGCACGCAGCTCTTGATATATTTTTCTTCCTTCTCGTAAGCTTCGCAGAGCGCTCTATACACCCCGGCCAGAAGCGCTCCACCCCAGCTGTACCCCGGAATGTCATCAATGACATTCAATAGGGATAGCCAGTAGAGGTTGACTCCGTTGGCCCGATGAGAGGGGAAGAAGAAGGACCCAATACACCAGAGTATGAGGGCTCTCGCCCTCCCCTCGTACTCTGATGCAGGGAGTCCATCCTCCAGTGGTCGGTTGCACTCGTCTTCTAGACTACTGAAAAACAGGAACTGGCCTGAAATGTCCCAAGTCTTTGGGTCGTAGTCCTGGTCCCCGTCATTCTTGAAATACGTTTACATATATATATTAAAAACGACTCATGACTTAAGTATACATAAACACAATAAAAAAAAAAAATAAGCAAATAAAAGTTTTAGGTAAAAATATACCTGTACATATGGGAGGTACCCTAGAGCGTCCGCGCAAACGGCTCTCCACTCTTGGGGAGTTCTCTGTACGGTATGTCCCCAGCACGGTTCCCCGTTGACGGGGAGGCCAAACAGTATCTGAACGTCCTGGAGAGTGATCGTGGCCTCCCCAAAGTCGAAGTGGAAGGTGTGCGTCTCCGGACGCCACCTCTCCAGCAGGCATGTAATGAGGCCGTTGTTTGTCGGAACCCGCCCCATCCGAAACACAGGCCCGAAGCCGGCCTTGTCGATCACCTCCCAGGTCCGGGCATTCTGCTTGTTGCCCTCCAAGGCAGCCCAGAACTGGGTGTCCGCACGGCGTGGCTTAACCATGCCGTGGCGAAACCCCGGTGCATCCTCATATACCGCCTTGGACCGGTGGCGGTTCTGAAGATATAGAAGTGACGGGTCATTGGGGCCGGGGTGTGGGGTGTGTTAGTGTTATATACTGAAAGCTTGCCTTTGCATGTTATTACACATTTACCCTTTATGAATGAGAATCATGTTAGATTAAACAAGTTCTACGTTCTGTTGTTCTGCACTTAGATAGGGTGGGTCGTCATCGGGCGAACCGAAGATCACTCTGTCAGTCACTTGCGAACAAGAATAGTTGTTCACAACCTAGATGGACATGAACACCCCATCCGAACGGTTGTAGTGTCAACTGTACAGTTTGTCTTGACTGATTAGTTGCACTAGTACATTTATGTATTGAACAGGATCCCAGA